CCCCATTGAATTTGCATTTAATAACGGAAGTTGCCAACGTCTTGACCTTCTTTCAGATATGACAATGGATGATGTTCGGGAATACGAGAAAAACATGCATGAACAAACCAACATAAAAGTTTGCAATCAGCATTCCTCCACTGTGGATGACATAGAGAGCCATGCCCAAACAAGTGTATGTAGAATTTTTAAAACATGTTGCCCAACCTTTACCAAACGTACACGTAAACTGATCTTTGAAATACTGCGAACGCTCGGTTCTCAAACTTCCACGAAAAAAGTGTCATCGCCCAAAGGCTATTGCTGCAGAACCTGAGCTGGGTCTAAATCGGACAGTTGTCACCTCTTGCTTCTAGACGTTTTGATACTTTAAAGCCACTTGACTTAGGGGTTGTTTCGGTCTTAAAACCAAGAACACGGAGAGTGGAAACAATTTCTGGTACCAGTAAACAGCCTGCACCACAAAAGAACAGAGGGGTAAAGAAGGATGTCACATGCAAACTAGAACATCGTGCCAATACCTTTTAAAAACATAGTTTACACTCAGTCATTCATTCAAGGGAGGGCTTCTGGCCCATCCGACATTTTAGGTTTCTTCATATTTGCTTTGAAATGCCTTCTATGGCCCTTTATAGCTCTTTTACCCAATTAGTTCCTTTTACTAAGTTAGTGTCGAGATGGGGCTGCGGTTGGTGCTCACACCTGGCTGCACAGCAAAGATATGGTGAGCTGGGACCACACCAGAGCTAGCCTGGGACCTAAAATAAGGCCCAGAGAGCCCCGGGTTATTTAGGGGCATGTTGGAAATTGAGAGTTGACTGTATGGTATATACCAGCATGATTATATTTTAAATATGGTTATATCTCAGACATTCATGCTAATGAAAAGGAGAGACAGATGACTAGGAAATATGTAGTCACTGAGTCATTTGTATGCACCATTGGCCAGAGCCATGCATGATCTTTGGGTGCCAGCTTGAGCCCGCATGCCTGTTAGCTCATGCTCCAGAATAATACATATTAGATTATTTTTAAGAAATTGGTGACGTAGTCATAGAAAATTAAGAAACGGCTGTTGTCATTTGGAATCGTGAAGACATTTTGGGTTGCACTTTGGAAATTTTCAGTCAGGTTTTTAGAGCATGTCTTTGGAATGCGCCCTGCAAGGCTCCCGTGCCGCTGTCGGATCACGTGACTGCCCTGAGGTTGAAATGGCCCTAACTCTTCCTCCCTATTTTGCTCGCAGTGATGATCGGATTTACAGAAAACCGTTCCGACGAGACAGCCGAGGTGGTCCTCTCCGTGTACAGACCAGTTCCGATAGGACGGCCCCCTACCTCTCCCCCGTTCTAAAGTTAAAAATGCTCCTTAAGGAGAAGGTCCTTGATTTTCATCCCTTTCAATTACCTTTTCTTATAGGAATGTTAGGCGCCAGTTCCCCCGCAGCCGCTCTCTGAAAGCTGCTCTCTATAAGTATGAGCAGACAAAGGAAGCCACAGGAAGCGGCAGACCCCACATGTCCCAAAGATACAAAGCACAGTGCTTGTCTCATTCTGAGTTCGTATGGCTTTCAACTGAAGGCATGTTGTTTGGTCTTCTTTTCATTTTACTGTGATTATTAGTGTTAGAAGGTCAGTTTACCTGGTCAACGGTGATACCTAGAACTGTTCTCCCCTTGGGAAAGCCCGAGCATTCTCTGGCTGCCCCGCACAGGGTTCCCATGACATCAGCATAAAGAGGTAGATGCCTATCTCCTCAGAAGTTACACAAAGTGCTTATTTTGAAAGCTTACAACATTTCTCTTATTCTGTGGAATTCCATCAAATTGGAGACCATTTATTTTTCTATCGTCTTCTCTATATTATAATGAAAAACGGAGTCAAGAGGCTGCTGCCCATCACAAATAAAAACTGCACAGATGCTCAATAAAATTTAAATCATCTACCCGTGTTGGGACGAATTAGATTGAAGTTAAGCAAAATTAACATCCCTGAACATAGAAATAAGAGGACATAGTCTCTTTTTCAATGGAACAGTTTCTGTGCCTTCAAGGAAGGGAACTTCGAAGAGACTCTGGAACGGAGTGTAAATTCAAAATTCTGTACTTTGGTGGTTTCTGCTCCCTGCTGGATGTGTGGAGAAGAGCACTATGTTCAGCCGCTTGTTTAAAAGTCTAATTTTTTTCCAAAATGATATCCACTTATTATAACAGAAACATATTCCAATTCGCTGAAATTTTTCTGAGAGTCTCAATTTTATTTCGAAATACCCCTTTTTAAAAAACTCATTCTCACTTCTTAGCTCGTTTAATAGTCTCATTATGTTTTTTAAAGTGAGAAGTCTACAGGTACAATTTTTCTTGTTATATTCTGAATTTTGTATTACATCAACACAGCCGTAATTTTTTATTTCCTTGGTAAAAGAAAAAAAAAGTTTCCTTTCTAAATATTTTAATAATTGTTTCCAAGAAATCCTCTTAAGGATTTTGTTTTTTGAAAAATATTTCAGGCTTGCTCAAATGTTAATGATATAACCTAATATGTGTGCGTGTGTATATATACATAAAATCCCCTAATGATTACTACCATGTTATGAATATTCATTCCATAGTTAATATTTCCAAAGTGGCTGTGTTGTTTCATGCTAGTTTATGCAATATCATCTAGTGAAGATTCAACCACTAAGTTTAAGAATGAAAGATGAGTCTATGGGAATCTGAAACAGACATAGAAAATCCACGGGCAGCAGATATCACCTTTCACCCAAGGACAAACTCTGAGGCCTTCAATCAGCACATTTTCTAATAAGCTCAGCTAACTGTTTTCTCTTTTAACAACAGATAAACGTGGCAAAGGATACCACGATAGTCAGACTGGAAGTCGTTAATAACCGTAGCAATAGTAATCACAGGAGTAGTAATAGCAGTAATAGTGATAGAGTTCCTGAGGATGAGAGAAGAGATATCAAACCATAAAAGGCAAATGGGCCCTGAGAAGGAAGTCATCACAGTACAGCAGCACAGCGATGCATTTCCCATACATTTTATCTAAAATGTTGTAAGTGTATGTCATACCTTAAATATATTAGGGAAAAAAAAAAATTAAAATATTTTTTTTTTTTTTACTTTCTCAGTAAGAAAATTTCAGGTATTTGGAAAATTATATCATGTGACAATGCCTGTTAAATGAGGCATCGCTGAATTTATTTCTTGAATGACAAATAATGCTTTTTTCTTTTAAATAAAAATTTCACTCATTAAATTATCCTCTCCCTTTGTTCTCTATCCTTTTATGTTTCCTTGAGAAATGATTTGGGTTCTTTTGGTTTGGTTTGCTTTTTGGTTTGGGGATAATTAGCAGAGTTTGTTGTTGTCATCATCTTACTTATTTGTTAAGCTGAATTAATTAAAACGCAGCACCTAAACAATCTCGGGATGGATATACAGTCAGGAAACAAGTATCCTCTAAAATGCAAAAAATATATATGCTTATTGAATAAAAAAATAGCACGTGGAGAAATTCTGTTGTTTGCCGTTGACCCTATAAAGGTATACTTGTATTTTCGCGATCTAAAATAGACAATATGCATCATTTTGGGGTCATTGATTGTTTAATTACTTTCTCCTTATAGAAGAGATGGCCAGGTCTATTAATAGTTCCATATAACACACCATACCCACTTCTCTCTCTCTCTATCTCTCTCACACGCACACACGTACACACATACACACACACACACACACTGCTGTGGTTTGGTTTTGTACTCCCCCGATACATTCTTATTCAGAATACTTAAAATATGTGAGAAATCTTGGATGGATATTCATAAAGGAATATTTTTTCAGAGGTTTGCCTCCGTATAAAGAAAAAATTCAAGGTTTAGCATTTCAGTGATAATATGGGTTTATAATCTGGAGAAGACCCTTTATCATAGGGTTCCTACAGGGCCTTTAAAAACAGACATAGAGATTAATCCATTCGCATTTCTTCTAAATAACTGCTCTTTTTTTTTTTTCTTCTTTGAAGACATGACAATGGATGAAGTCCGAGAATTTGAACGAGCCACTCAGGAAGCCACCAACAAGAAAATCGGCGTTTTCCCACCTGCGATTTCTATCTCGAGCATGCCCCTGCTGCCTTCCTCTGTCCGTAGCGCCCCTTCTAGTGCTCCGTCCACACCTCTGTCCACAGACGCACCGGAATTTCTGTCCCTTCCCAAAGATCGGCCCCGGAAAAAGTCTGCCCCAGAAACTCTCACGCTTCCAGACCCTGAGAAGAAAGCCACCTTGAATTTACCTGTCACACACTCTTCAGATAAGCCATGTCGGCCCAAATCAGAGTAAATTCATATGAATATTTCATGGGGTTTTATATTTTTGTTTTCGGGTTTTGTGTTTTGGTGTTTTGTTTTGTTTTGTTTTGTTTTTAGAATCTTCTAATATAGAAAAAGACTGCTTTGTCACTCAAACATGTTCCTTTGATCTCTGAGCGTGCATGGGGTTAAGTAATTTCACATATAATATGATTCCCTAAGTATGCCACACAGCATCCCGTTAGACGTAAAATATAAGACTTGCAAAGGACAGAAGGAATCAATCTCCTTCTCCTGTAGCCACAGCTGGATGCCAGGGAGGAAGCCTGATTATTGGGCCTTTGATGAGGTTGGTATGGATTTCAAGCGTAAATAAATGAAATCTTTACTCCACTGTGTTTACAAGGTGTGGTAAAACAGTGAAGTCACTTTCCTCCCATTGAACCTGAAATTCTCAAAAACACTCTCAGGCATAATATACCTAATTGCTAAATTTTGAACTGCTCATCACCAATACTTGAATACCAATAGTTACTAAGATTCGTATTTTGGTTAGTCTGACTCAGGATTTGGGGCCTAATTAACACTTTAAATTTTTTGAAAATTTTAATTATCAACCTATAGAGGCTCCAAGTGCAATTAATGATAACTTATTTATACCTTTCACAGAATTTAATAAAGATTCCACTTGTTTCTGCCTTTTAATAACTTTCCCCTTTCTGCCCTCGTGGCCTCAGAAATCTTACGAATTTCATGGATGAATGTGACCTTAAATGACTGACTTTGGAAGGGTTAAGTTAGGAAACCAAGAGGCCCAGGTGAGGCACACATCTTTTTTCTCTACAGGTACCAACAAACCTTAATTGTCAGCTTCTATCATCCATTAACATTCTCAGAATTTGTAATTAATCAAGTAGAATTCATCGACTATCTGCCCAAGTTCAAGGGTAGAGTAAGCCAACTGGACTTTAACACTGTCAGAATGTCTGGTTTGGGAACCCTAAGAAGGAGAATTGTCTCCTGTCCCCCCTCCTGGTTTTGTTTTTCGTGACATCCAGACTTCGTGGAATGGATTGCCCATCACTGGACCTTAGAAAAGACTGTCATTCTCTTGCTGCTTACTTGAAATCCAAATATTGGGAATGTTGCAGAAGTCGAGTAAATACTTGTCAGGTGGGAAGAGAGAATGAACAGAATTGTTGACTCCTATTTGTACAGTAAATGGAGGAGTGATAGAAGACGCCCCTCTAAATTTCTTTTCTGCAAGTAGTGGTAATGCAAGATCAGATTCAATGTTGTCAGGAGGCGAGATCATTCACCAAAGTGGCAGAAAGAGAACTCTCCTCTAAAGAGAAAAATCTACCACCTTCGCATCTCACTGCCTTTAAACGCAGAAGGAAGGGCAAGCAGAATCTAGCATTCCCGTAGGTCCTCCAAGAGAGGAAGAGAACAAGGAAATTGGGCAATTCCAAGCCCCCAGCTAGCCTTCCTGACCTTAACCTCCAACCTCAGGAAAGGGACCTTCCCAAAACAGATTCCAAAGGAAACAACATAGACCAGGGAGTATATTCTCCTCTCTGTCACAGCCTCTCAGCCAGTGGACCCCGCCTGCTTCTTAGTGCTCAGCACTCTGCATAGTGTCTTTCAAGTTGACAAATTCTCCCAAGGTGCAGGTGCTGGCCCCACGAGCCCAGCACCAAGTGGAAGTTACACATCAGACTGTTAAGGTCATTTCTTTATCTACAGGTTGACATTTAGCTGGAAAAATAAATAAACCCAGAACTCAAGGGGAACCAGTTGCAAATAGCTGAGATCAACACTGCATCCGTTCCCTAAGAATGATAGCATTGTAATAGGACATCTTTGCATGGTATGGTAGCATGATTTTTGCTTGTGGGAAAACGTAATCTTTTATCAAACCCCTTGGACTTCCCAATGGCTCCCTCTCCACACAGTAGTACTTAACGAGAATGTTTGGCTTTAGAAAGCAAAATTCCAGTTTCAGAAGACAGTGATAGTGTACGTATTTGCCTACCGTGTATTTGCAAGCTGAAATCAGGACGGGGTGGGATCATTCTCAAATAGACCGATTCGTTTTGTGCAGGTTGTTCACACATCTGGCACCCAATTTTTCCTTTCATGCCATTGCTGTTTTCCCTTTTTGTGAAGTAGCTTCCGCTATCAAGGTCAACAATTCTATGCTTTCGAAAGCTAATTTCTAACTTCCTTCTGGGAGTTTTCTTTCATAGCCAGCACAATACCACAGACATCAATTACAAACTGCTGATGATAGTGTGATTTTCAGCCGTCAAATGTGTGTGCTCTTAAAATGCGTTCAGTTTTCTGTCTCCGTGTGGTTTGTGTGCATTTAATGAAAGGGGGGTGCTTCTATTCCTTTAGCTGCTTTAAATATTTAATCCAGTCACAAGCATATATAACTTCACTACTTTCTCTGTCTTGATTTTCAAATGTCATTTTACATTCTCCATACATGAATTTGTTTATTGTGGGATACAAGCCTGCGATGAATGTGTATATAGAACATTAATAATTCCTATAAGGATGGAAATTAAATGGCTGCATGATGGAAACTTAAAGGAAAAAAAAAAGCAGAAACTTGAATTCATTAAGCATGTTTGGGGAAAAATAGAATCTTTAACTCAGTGCCTCTGTTTGCAATGTGGAAACCTTCAACTTTGTTCACCAAAATTGTATTATACCTGTATATATATATATATAAATATAGTATAGTGAATCAGACACCACTAGTTTGAAGTCTCTGGTCCATAGATTTCTTTAAATAGTCCACAGACTAACATATATGTGCACGCCATCTTCATCTCTGATGTTAGTGAAAACCATCAAAAGGACTGTAAATTTTCTTTGGGTGGATTTCAAACACGAAATGCACACGTGCTTTTCGTTGACTGCAGTACAGCACTGCTGCTTTGACTGTGCTTTCCCAACACAGGAAGGTCTTGGTGTTTTTTACCCCATAAACTTTGTCAGAAATTAACTCTGAAGACCATTTCATCGTCTATAATAAAACGAAGCAAAAGAAAAGCTTAACAGCAAAGGAGGCCATGACATTTTTCAGTTACCTCTGTTATAACTGACAGGATGTGTGTTCACGGGTAAATGGATTTTTAAACCCTTCTCATGGTTTTGCATCTATGTCGGGGAGAAATGGTTTTAATTTATTTGGAAGTACTTATTAGCCATGTTTTTGGTTGTGAAAATAAACCTCTGAGTAGCGCAGTTGTGAACGTATAACACAGACGCTTAAAAAACACAAGCCCCATCCCCCAAAAGTAATTATGTGGTTTTCTTTAAAGACACTGTAATACAGTTAGTGGCCTAAGAGAAGAGATTCTGACACATATTGAAAAATAATTTTTCTGCGAAAATGTCAAGGCTAATATATTTGTGTGTATTTTTAAATTCTCCTTTAGCATTTCTTCGTGGCTCAGAGACAAGGTCACTGGCTGGTTTAAGTCAATAAGAATTTTTCTTTTCAGAAAGGCCAGAGTATAACTTACTCTAAATATAATGTGTACTCAGATAATCCAATAGATAAGAATTGTCTTAAATATTTTTAGTCCCTTTCTGATCAATCATCTGACTCGATAGGCTAGTTGACAATCTGCCATCTGAGCCGTAATTCTTGAAATTTAAAAAAAATCTGTCCAGTGACTGTAACTGGTCATGGATACACTTTTTTTTAAAAAAAAGTACACAATTCTTGCTAAAACTGAAGTGCTGCTCAGGGTTGGCATTCAGAGGCAACACGTACTGGGTTCATCTGTGTCCTACCTTCAAAACAGTCTGTTTGCATTTGAAATGTTGGTGTTTAAGCTTTTTAGGAGTCGTGCAATAAGAGAATGTGAATATGTTGAGAACTTTTCAGATGCCGTTATTAATTGTAATTTCGTTGTTAACAAATGCTTTAGGATAAGTCTCGATGTTTTTGCTTAAAATTGAAAGCATGTCTGTTGAATTGCGAGTCTCCCTTCCATGTAATCACCAAGGAGAGATTCTCTGAGTTGATGTAATACTTCTGTCACTCTTATGTAGCTTCAAGTGTAATTTTTAGTGTTTACATTTCGAGCTGGGATCTTCATTAGTTAAATTAGTCAATATACCACTGCCACTGCCGAAGGACCAAGTTTTGGAATGCACAGTGTTATAGATGACAAGCAAAGCAAACAAAAAGTTGATCCTCACACATGCCATCGTTCGGTGTCATTTTATGGCTTTTTTGTGTTTCTTTCCCAGTTATTTATTATTGTTAATAACTTCCTTTTTCTTACATTCTGTTGTAAATAAAGTACAAAGCAATCTTCTTTCCAAGTGTAGCTTCCTCTCTTTCTCTCTCTCTCAGCTCCTCTCTCTTTTCTCAAGGGAATCTTGGCAATAGCGAACTTGTGGGTTGATGGGAAAGAAGCTATCAAAGAATAAAAAAATAAACCAGCGGCCAGTACTTAGACCCAGTTCTAGAGGGCTTGTAGGCAAGGAAGCCTGACCTGCTAATAGTCCTGGTGCCTCTAGGGCCAGAACCTCTGGGATGAAAAGCCTGGTGCCGGCTCTAACTATCCAGCCAGAAAATACCCAAGGTGAATCTGTAACCCAGTGGGATACACACATAGACTCATCTATCCACCTAACAGGTGCCCAGTTCCCTATCATCAAATGTGAGGCTACGGTCTGAGTAAGAACCAAGAAAAATCACCCCAAGGGAATCTGTAGGAACACCGCCCCAGTGGGACACCAGATCCCCTTCCATTACAGGACGGCCAGTCCAACATGAACCGTAATCACTCTGATATGGTTTCTCCACCTCAAGTAGCTCC